ATTAGAGCCAGAATGAGATAGGTTTTAGCCACATTAGAATGGCTAAAAAAAAAAAGAAATTTTTAAAATTCTAATATCAACTGGGCTCGGTGTCTCAGACTGTAATCCCGCGCCTTTGGGAGGCTGAAGTGAGTGAATTGCCTGAGCCCGCGGGTTCAAGACCCGCCTGGGCAACTTGGCGAGACCTCATCTCTACAATAAATCAAAATGAACCGTGCGTGGTAGCGCGCACCTGTAGTTCTAGCTACTTGGAAGGCTGAGGCGGGAGGATTGCCGGAGCCCAGCAGGTCGAGGCTGCGGTGGCCGGGAGCGGCCATTGCACTCCAATCTGGGAGACAGAGTGAGACACCAACTCAAAAAAATAAATAAATAAATAAAATTCTAATATCAAATGATAATAAGATCGGGAATCAGTGGGAACTCATATATACTGCTGATAGGAATACAAAATGATACATTCACTTTGGAGAGAACTTCAGCAATTTCGTGTAAATTTGCACTTACACTCACCACGTGACCAAACACCTGACTGACTCCTAGGTATTTACCGAGGAGAAGTAAAATCTTATACTTACACACAGAATCCTCACTGTCAATATTTATAGCAGCTTTATTTCATAGTCACCAAAGCCTGGAAGCATTCTGAATGTCCTTCAACCAGTAAATTTCTACAAACTGGGGACCTATGGAGACAATGAGGGGTAAGTCAACAATTACAAAAACCAAAGTATTGATTTATACACCTCATCACATTGATGACCCTCAAATGTGAAAGGACCGACTGAGATTGGGAAGTCATTTTTTATCTTGTTCTTAAACCCTAATATGATGAGGAAGAAGTAGAAGCTATGTCCTGGAGATATCCCTTTTTTCATCTTGTTCCTAAAGTTTAATACAATGTTTATCTTGTTCCTAAAGTTTAATACAATGTTTAAAAAGCTATGTTTTGGAGAAATGCATACTCTAGGTAAAGATTATCTTTGCCGACTGTGTCTTTTCAGAAACACAGACTCCTTAAGCATGACCGGTACCAGCCTATTGTAATTTATTTTTTTAGAAACCCAGACTTCTCAAGCACGACCAGTATCAACCCATTGTATATTCAGTGCATGGTGACCAGGACCTCCCTCAGAGTCTCCAAGACATTCACAGGTGGTCAACAAGGAAGTCACAGCAGTCACATCTACCTGATTACAACACTTCCGAGGGAAAGGATTTAAGCCGGGGCTAAGGGGGCTATGGGAGCAACACTTATCTAGAGTGTAGATCCGCTTCCTCTCTGTGGGAAGTGAACTTTTCTTAAACAAATCTTTTCTTTTTTCACCTCTTTGTGTGTTGCAAATCTTTGCATTGCTCGGATTTCTGGTTGCCAGCACGTACCTCTGGCATGCTGGCTCTGGCAGTGCCGAGTCTCCCCATCTACCCATCCACCCTCACCCTCCATACCCTAACAAAGTGCATTACACTGAGTGAATAAATAAAGACTGTAAAGGCAACATCTTTTGTATGATTCCATTTCTGTGACATTCTTCAGAAGGCATATAGGTAGGAATGGAAAAAAGATCAGCCTTTTTACAAGAATTAAGTGTGAAGGAAGAGTTGACTACCAAGAGACATCAGGAGGGGATGTCTTAAGTGCAGTGCCTTTGCAGTGTCTTGACTGTGGTTGTGGGTATACAGTTGTATACATCTGTCAAACCACATGAAATTGCATATGATAAATAGTGACACTGATACTACCTGTATTTAAAATGCGCAAAATTTTTAAAAGCACAAGACAACCCCATACTCTCACTGGAATTGTTAAAGTCTAAGACCAAGAATACCAGGTGTGGAGTATGAAGGTGTGGAGTTACTGAACTTCTGCTACGTGTCTTGGAAGTTGGTAAAAGTCAAAACCATTTGGAAAACAGTTTGATAATGCCTACTAAAGTTAAACATACAGATATTCTTTGACTGAAAAATTCTACATTTGTGCATATACTCATGAGTATAAAAACATGTCTATAAAAAAACTTGTGCCTGAATAACTATAGTAAAAATAAACTAGAAACTCTCAAATGTGTATCAATAGGTGAATAAATATTTATTTTAATTTAATTTTTATTTATTTATTTTTTGAGTTGGAGTCTCACTCTGTCACCCAGGCTGGAGTGCAGTGGCATGTTCACAGCCACTGCAGCCTTGACCTGTTGGACTCAGGCAATCCATCTGCCTTAGCCTTCCAAGTAGCTGGAACCACAGGCATGTGCCACCATGCCTGGCTAATTTTTTATTTATTGTAGAGATGAGGGCTTGCCATGTTGCTTAGGCTGGTCTCGAACCCCTGAGCTCAGGCAATCCTATCACCTCTGCCTACCAAAGTGCTGGGATTACAGGCTTGAGTCACTGCACCTGGCTGAATAAATATTTAATAAAAGATTATAGCACATCCATACTGTGGAATACTACTTAGCAATAACAAAGTGTGAAATGCAGGCATATCAAACAACTTGGTTCAGTTTCAGAAAGTATTATTGCTGAGTGACAAAATACAGATAGAAGTGAGGACATTTCTAGGAACTCTTGAAATAGAAAAAACTAACTCACCATGAGAGGTAGCATATAGAGGGTTGCTGCATGCAGGAGGGGGAAATGGTGAGCTGTGAAGAGATTCTACAAAGCCTGAATAACTATAGTAAAAATAAACTGGAAACTCTCAAATGTGTATCAATAAGTAAATAAATATTTATTTTAATTTTATCTTTATTTATTTATTTTTGAGTTGGAGTCTCATTCTGTCGCAGGGTAGTGTAAGTTGTGTATCTCTTGATAGCAGCAGTCACACCAAGGCTGTGTATACTAGTTCAACTCATTGTAATGAACATTTCACATAGGTGCACCTTTTTTTCATGTAAATTATACCCAATTAAGCTCATCAGAGAACTCACAACTTTATATTTAATCTGCCAGTTCCTGAACATGGTATGACTTTCTTTATTGGTAAAAACTGATAAAACCAAATGTACTCCATTTTCTTCCTTTTATTTTCTTTTTTTCCTTTTTAGATCTAAATGACATTCCATTGCCAACTGGCAACACTTCTTTTTTAAAAAACATTTTTAGACATGGGGTCCCGCTCTGTCACCCAGGCTGGACTACAGTAATGCCATCCTAGCTCACCAAAGCCTCAAGCGCCTGGACTCAAGGGATCATCCTGTAGCTGGAAATACAGGAGTATATCAATTATATATCTTTTTTTAATTTTTCTGGTGACAAGATCTCTACATGTTGCCCAGATTGTTCTTGAGCTTCGGTCCTCAGCTATCCTCTGCTTTGGTCTCTCAAAGTGCTGAGATTACAGATATGAACCATCATCTCAAAGTACTGGGATTATAGACTTGGTCCTGTTTCCTATTATATGCCACATTCTGACTTTTTAAAATAACTTAATACAGAGTATGACTTTATTTATTAAAGACTTAGTTCCTTATATTTTAAGTGAGTATGTAAACAGCTTTCTATGTAAGTAAGAAGAAATGGGCATTGATCGAGATACTACTGTTTATGGAGGTTTTACTATTATATGGTGTTACCTCACATGTATCCAGGATCTGCCAGACACACACACACATCCAGAGTGAGATGGAAAGCCATGTGAGCTGAGCCCAACATTTTAATTTTGTCTGTATATTCCATTCATGTTGCTGGGAAATATTATGTCTTTAGAGTCACATTTTACTGTGAGAAGCATATATATTTTTTTGAGTTGGAGTCTCACTCCGTCACCCAGGCTGGAGTGCAGTGGCATGCTCATGGCCACCCCAGCATTAGCCTGCTGGGCTCCACCGATCTTTCTGCCTTAGCCTTCCAAATAGCCAGAACTACAGGTGTGCACTACCACGCTGGGCTAATTTTTGACTTTTTATTGTAGAGACAAGGTCTCAACAAGTTTCCCGGACTGGTCTCAAACTCTTAGGCTCAGGCAATCCACTCGCCTTGGCCTCCCAAAGTTCTGGGATTACAGACTGGACCACTGAGCCTGGACAAGAAGCATATTTTTACATGAAAGAAATTGTAACTCTCAATCAAGAGAACTTAAAAGAAATTACTCCTGTCTACACTGCACTGGATAGGATTATTAATGGAAAAGGACTTTCTTCTGCAATAATTCATGGAACAAGTATCCATCTTTTTGATTTACATGAAGATACTGCATGGTTCAAGTTTTGGAGATTTCATCGAAACATTGCAAATCAGTGTACTTGATGCTGGCGGGGGCGGGGAAATGTATACTCCTATTGCCTTAAAAATACCCAATAAACTGACATGACACATGGCAAACTACCAGAGTCCACAGCTCTAAATCCAGACAGGATGAGAATGCGGAGAGGATGATAGGCTACGGATGGCACATTTCAAGGGTAGGGACCAGGTCTGTGATATCTCCTCCGGTTTCCAGCCCCATCTTCAAAAACATGCTCATTGTGTGTTTGGTGAATGAAGGAAAGAAAGAATGCATGAACAGCTACCACCTTCACTGCCCCTAGAGCCTCTCTTCATTTCTTCTGCCTCAGAAATGCACACAAACCTTACCAAAACCTACATCCTGCAGGACCAACCACCCTCTGGGGTCTAAATGGGGCTGTGACTCTGGGGCCAAAACAGTATGACCCCTTTCCTGGTGTAACAGAAAAGCACCTCAGAATGAGAGGGCTCTGGTCACTCACAGGTGTCCCCTGCCTCAGATGTCCCCAGAGGACCTGGCACGGGCTCTGGTGCTCAAGGGAGATGCCTGACATGGGTCTCCGCTTCTTTGCTCCTCTCCTCTCTGGGGTCACTTGGATCAGGGCTTCCCCCAGAGGAAGTGAGTTCTGACCTTGTGTGGGTCTGAGGTTCCTCTTCTGTGAACCGTCAAGGTCTCGTGCTCCTTCCCAGCCTCTGTGGGTCCCCAGCCCTTTCCCTCCACTTGTCTCCCCTTCTCTGCTCTCACAGGGAGCACGGGACCCACCACCTCAGAGATGCTGCCGCCAATTCTGCTGCCCCTTCTGTGGACAGGTGAGTGGCCACAGGGAGAGGGGCCATGGAGCTGGGCCAAGTTGACGCTCATTTCTCCACAGGGGCCCTTGCTCAGGAGAATGTTTTCAAGCTGGAAGTGCCCGAGTCAGTGACGGTGCAGCAGGGCCTGTGTGTCTTTGTGCCCTGCTCTGTCTTCTACATCCAGTATTCCTGGGATGATGCCACCCCTGCTTATGGCTACTGGTTCCGGGAAGGGGCCAATGTTTACCAGGACACTCCAGTGGCCACAAACAACCCGGCTCAAAAAGTGCAGGAGGAGACCCAGGGCCGATTCCGCCTCCTCGGGGACCTGTGGACAAACAACTGCTCGCTGAGCATCAGAGACGCCAGGAGGAGTGATGAGGGGAAATACTTCTTTCGAGTGGAGAGAGGACGAATAAAATACAGTTACAAATCTTTCCAGCTCTCTCTGCTTGTGATGGGTAAGGCCAGAGACTAAGGAACAGTGATGGGGGAAGGTCACAGGCTGCAGGGCAGGATTGGGATGGGAGCTCCTTCCTGGGAGGGGGTTGGGTAAGCATGTCAGGCTCAGGGGAGGAGCTGGACCAGAGTCTGGGCTTCTCTCAGGGCTATACCTCAGAACCTCCCTCCTGATCCTGCGTGTCCCCCTCTCCTCACCAGCCCTGAACCACACACCCGACATCCTCATCTCCCAGCCCCTGGAGTCTGGCAACCCCAGCAATCTGTCCTGCTCTGTGCCCTGGGCCTGTGAGCAGGGGACGCCTCCCATCTTCTCCTGGATGTCAGCTGCCCCCACCTCCCTGGGTCCTAGGACCAGCCTCTCCTCGGTGCTCACTATCACCCCACGGCCCCAGGACCACGGCACCAACCTCGTGTGTCAGGTGAAGTTCCCTGGAGCGGGTGTGACCATGGAGAGAACCATCCAGATCAACTTGTTCTGTGAGTGCTGGGCCAGGATACCCAGGTCCCTGAGGGTGTGGGGGTTGGGGGTAGGAGGACCAGGGCTGGGACACTTTGAGGCTGTGTCCTGAAGGCCTGCTTGAGTAAGTACTGAGAAAAACACAAGCTCTGTCTCTCAACATTTCTGTGGCTTCTGGGGAAGGGAAGGAGTGCCTGCCCTCATCTTGTCCCAACCCCAACTCTGTGAGAAATCCTCTCTTCCTGTACTAGATGCTCTGAGTCACCCAGGGATCAGTGTCAGCCAAGACGACAGCACAGGTAGGATGGAGCCTCTCCTTGGGTGAGGGGAGCAGGGTCTTCAGCTCAGGGCAGTGCCCCTCCTCATCCTGGACTCACTGGTCACCAGAGACCCCCTTGTGGGTGAACCAGGGCGCCTCCCCACCCTCAGCTCCCGGTGGCCCCCAGAGCATCTGCCCCATTCACCCCTTCCTCCCCTCGAACTCCTCCACACACACCCCTGTGACCCACAGCAAGGACAGGGTGACATGCACACAGCAGGACCAACCTCAAGACCCCTAGTCATTCATTCCCTGAATACATCTTCTGCTTGTCCTTTTATTTTTATTTAAAGTACTTCTGGGCACATGCTTTATTTACATGGGTTAAAATCCAAAATGCACAGCACAGTCTGTCCCCAGATGCCCGGTTCCTTCCCAGAATCAACCTGTGTCCATCCAGATCTGAGTCTTGGTCTGTTCACCTGAGGGTTTTGAGAGGTCATTTGACATCATAGAGTGGGCCGTCCTCACCCTCCTCCAGGACTGTGTGGTGTCCGTTGAACAGATCCCACTGTGTCGAGAGACCACATGATGCCCATTCATTCTTTAGCTGAAGGACATGAGGGTTGTGACCACTCTTTGGCTATTAGGAAAGATGCTGCAGGAGACATTCGTGTACAAGTGTTTGTTTGAACCTGTGTTTTTATTTCTCTTAGGCATATACCCAGGAATGGAATTGCTGGGTCCTATTGTAATTCTGTGTCTAAGGCTTTGAAAAATGCCAGGCTCTTGCCCACTAGACCACACACTTTACATTGCACCAGAATATACCAGAGTTGCAGGCAGTTCTCCATATTCTTTCAAATGTTTTCATTTGTCTTTTTTGTAACCAAAAAAGAACTATAGTCTTCTTGTGTGAAGGAGTAACGTGGGGTTTCGGTATTCATTAACATTGTGATGTATTATGTTGAGCAGATTTCATGGACTTATTAGTATTTCTACTTTTTTGGAGAGGTGTTACTGAAGTCCTTTGTTTATTTTTTAATTGGGTTATTTGGTTTGTTGGAACTTTGAGCTGTAAGCATCCTTTATACATTCTGGACACTAGGACCTTATCAGTTCTATAACTTGTAGACATATTCCCCTATTCTGTGGGTCTGCCTTCTCACTTTCTTGATTGTGTTTGTCAGCAAAAAACAGTTTTTAATTTTGATAAAGTCCAACTTATGTATCTTTTCTCTGTCCAACTGCTGGACAGTCGGGATGTGGTTTGGGGTGAGCCCTGGACTAATGTGGTTCCCCATCCAGGAATATAAGAAAGGCCCAGATCACCCATGTTCAAGTCCAATTGGGAGAGAAAGCACACCATGTGGTTGAGCAGGTCAATCGGCCTCATCCAGTGTTTTTGCAGGGAAATCAGGGGCCCTGGCAGAGGTGTTTCTGTTGTCCATTGTGGTCGTGGCTGTGAAGATCCTGCTTCTCTGCCTCTGCTTCATCTTCCTCAGGTGAGCACTGCCCTGGGGATCAAGGTGCAGAAAGAGGAGGGTGGGGGACGTGTCACCGTATCCCAGAATCTCAAAACCAAGAGCACTTGTACAGTGTAAGAAGGCGAGGGGGACAGGCTCGGTGGCTCAGCCTGTAATCCCAGCGCTTTGGGAGGCCGAGGTGAGTAGATTGCCTGAGCCTGCGGGTTCGAGACCTGCCTGGGCAACTTGGCGAGACCTCATCTCTACAATAAATCAAAAATTAGCCAGGTGTGGTAGCGCATGCCTGTAGTTCCAGCTACTCGGAAGGCTGAGGCGGAAGGATCGCCGGAGCCCAGCAGGTCAAGGCTGCGGTGGCCGGGAGTGGCCACTGCACTCCAGTCTGGGTGACAGAGTGAGACTCCAACTCAAAAAAAAAAGAAAAGAAGAAGGCAAGGGGTCAGGCAGGAGGTTGAGTTGTGGGGAAAATTCCACATGGGACATTTGTAGTCAGGTCTGTGTCTGTCCCAACCGTGGGCCAAATGCCAGGGAGGTTCCTGCCCTCACCGTGGAGGTACTGCCGGTCAGACCTGCTCTTCAGCCCTCGTGTCCATTTCAGACTGTTAACAACATACTGGGAAGGGGATTCCACTGGCCTCTGCACCCCAATATGACCACAGTGACAGACCATGGTCTCTTCTCTCAGTTTCCACAGGAGGAAGACCGCAAGGTCACCTGTGATTGAGGAGAATGAATACAGTGTCATGGGCTAATATCAGAGGCAAGTGTCATGGGCATCTCACCACCCACCACCCCACTGGACACCTACAGGGTGGCCTCTCCAAGTGGTATGCTCAGCACAGCCAAAGTGAAGCCACACATCTTCCTGCCCAAACCCACTTCTCCCAGAATCCCCGTTATGCTGACAACACGGCAGCCCCATCTCTAAAGCCAGAACCAGGGTGTGTTTCCCCACCCTGACCTCCCTCCCTCCCCCAGATCCCATCCATCCCTGACTCTCTTCCCTCCTTCCCCTTAGCACAGTTTCTCTTGGTGCCCTCTTCTCCATCCTGACCCTGGTCATTCCTGCGGCCTCACCTCTTCCCTGGTCACTGAACTCCCCTTCCCTCCTGCCTCCATTTCTCTCTTCCAGCACAGGCCTCCAGACTGCTGCAGTGCCTCCTCATCCAAGTATTCCAAGTCTGAACGGCCATGTTTCCCTCCATTGCTGGAGAGTGAGATGCCCATGCCTGGACTGAGGGCCGCGCACAGTCTGTCCCTGCTGCACTCTCCTCCTGAGTCCTCCTCTCCCTGCCTCACCCAACATCTCCCACATCCACCGAACCAAGCCCCCTGTGACTCAGAGACTGCCTCAGTGGTTCCTTCTCCTGAATCGTCCTTCCCTCCCCATTCCTGCCTATCCAGGTCATGATGGTTCATCAGTCTCAGGCTGTAATGTCACCCAGGTGTGTGCAATTCTTGTATGACTAAGTGGTGAGTGACATTCACTCATTTGTTTATATTCTTCAGTAAATATACTGGACACCTACCATATGCCAGCATCGCTATACTGGCTCGGGGTTTCTCAGTAGACACAGTCTAAAATATATCTGTCATCGATAAGCTGTTGTTATGAAAGCTAGAAGGACAGAAATGAAAGAGACAAATAATAAATAAAATGAGAGCATATGGGATGGTGATGTTTGTGTGATGGTTCAGGAAAAAACAAGTATAAGATATCCCAGGGGACAGTGTCTGGATCTGATGGTTGAGGAGGTGATGTCTGGGTAGAGACGTGGAGAGGGTGAGGATGCAGCTGTGTCTGCCTCAGAGAAAAGTCTCCCAGGAGAAGGGAAAGAGGAACAGGCGTGCAGTGCTCAGAGGCAACAGCTCTGGGAACTGAGAATGCACCCAGAAGCCCGGGTCTGAGGCAGAGGATGGCAGGAGAAGGGAGCAGTGGGGAGGATGGTGCAGACCGCATGGTGCCCTGAGGCCACACAGGAACCTGGAGACCTGGGGAGAGCAGAGCCACACCGGGACTTTCCCCCTGACAAGACTCCTTGACCTCCCTGGTCAGAACAGGCTCAAATGGGTCGTGGCAATCACAGAGAGATGGGAAGGCATCACTGCATCCTCCAGGACGAGGGACGAGGGCTTGAACCAGGGAGGCAGGTTGGGTGAAGACATATTTAGGGATGTGTGTGGAAGGTCAGAATCACAGGATTTTCTATCTATGTGGTCAATGAAGAGATGGGAAGGGTCAGGATGATGTCACAGTGTTCCCCAGAGCATTTGGAAGGAAAGAGCTATTTCTATAGAGAATTGTAGAGGGAGGGCCTTGAGGGAGGATGTTAATTCTGAGGACCCAGCTGTTATCCAAATGGGGACAAGAGGGAGACAGTTGGATACAAGTGTTTGGAGATCAGGAGAGGATCCAGGTTGGAGATGGTACCTGCACAACTATAGTAAAGTGATAATAGATGAGATAACACAAGGGTGATTCCCGATGGAGAAGAGGATACCCATTTGTAATTGGTGTTGTCTTGACATCATGTGATATCTTCTACCTCTTTGATAACAGTCATCCTAGCAGAATCTATCAACAGATGAATGGATAAACAATTTGTGTTATGTACGTACAAGGAATGGTATCTCATTGTGGTTTTCATTTGCATTTCCCTGATGATTCCCTGGCCATGTTGGCTATTTGTTGACCATTTCTATGTCTTCTTTAGAAAACTCTCCATTCAAGTCCTTTGCTCACTTCTAAAAAGAGTTATTTGTATTTTTGCTATGGAATTGAGTTTCTTATATATTCTGGATACTAAGCTCTTACCAGACATATGGTTTGCAGACATGTTCTCCTCTTCTGTAAGTAGTCTCTCTTCACTTTGTTTATTGTCCGTCATTTGCTGTGCAGAGGCTTTTTCGAGGAATGTAATTCTGCGTGTCCATTTTTGCTTCCATTGCCTGTACTTTAGGTATCATGTCCAAAAATGTTTTTGTTTTGATGATGCCAAGAAGCTTTCTTCTCTCTGTTTTCTTCTAGGAGTTGTAGAGTTTCTGTCTTTGTGTTTCAGTCTTTAATCAGATTTGAGTTGATTTTCTATATAACATGAGGTATTGACAAAGCCCATTTGAAGGATTTGACTGGAGCAAGTTCAGGAAAGGATCAGAGGAAGGAAAGTGGGAAGAATGAGGATCAACAGCTCTTTGAGAAGTTTTGCTGCGAAGGGGAGCACAGAAATGGGTCTGGAGAAGGACTTTTCTCAGTTTCCTACAGTCTCCCACAGATGATCAACGAATTCCTCCTTCTGTTAGTCTCATATAAACTGTGAGAAATTATCACAAGCCTGACTTCTTTTAACAAAACCCTCCTAAATTTACTGTCTCACAGTTTTGGAGCCTAGGATTCTACATCTGTCTCCATGGGCTGATATCAAAGTATCCATTGGTCCAGATTCTTTCCAGGGACTTGGGGATGAATCATATTGCTTGTTTCTTATAGATTATTGAGGCTGCTGTAACCCCTGAGTTCTGGCTACACCCCTCCTCTCTCTGCCTCTGTGATCACATAGCCTCACCACTTTTTGTGTGTATCAAATCTATGTCTGTCTGTCTCTACATCTTTTAAATACTTAAATAAATAATTTTTTTAAAAAAAATCTATGTCTGCTACTCTCTCAGGACACTTGTGATTGGATAAAAGAATCTACTTGGGCTGGGAACAGTAGCACACACCTGCTATCCCAGCACTTTGGGAGGCAGAGATGGGAGGATCATTTGAGCCCAGGAGTTTGAGACCAGCCTAGGCAGCATAGTAAGACCTTGTCTCTACAAAAAGTACAAAAATTAGCCAGACATGGTAGAGCATGCCTGTAGGCTCAGCTATTTGGGAGACCCTGGTGGTACGATTTCTTGAGTCCAAGAGGTCAATGCTATAGTGAGCTGGGATCATGACACTGAACTCCAAAAGAGTGAGCCCCTGTACCAAAAAAAAAAAGTCTACAGGATTCAGGATGATCTCCTCTGGTCAAAATCCTTAACTTAAGCATCTTTGCAAAGACTCTTTTACATACAAGTAGAATTTACAAGTTCCAGGAACTAAGACATAGGTTTCTGCTCTTGGCCATTATTCAATGCACTGCACACACCATGTGACCTTCAGCACCTCTAGGATGCTCCCATCTGCACTCCAGACCTCAGCTCTGTTTTATTCTTCTTCTTCTTTTTGAGTCAGAGTCTCACTCTGTCACCCAGGCTGGAGCGCAGTGGCACACTCACAGCCACCCCAGGGTCAACCTGCTGGGCTCAGGCAATCCTTCCACCTCAGCCTTCCAAGTAGCTAAGTTTTTTTAAAAAATATTCTAGAGATGAAGTCTCACCAGGTTGTCCAGGCTGGTCTCGAACCCCTGGGCTCAGGTAATCCTCTCGCCTCATCTTCCCAAAGTGCTGTGATTATAGGTTTGAGTCACTGCATCAGGCCCATTTTATTCTTCTTTGCCCTGCTGCTTGATGTCCTGACACACTAGGGGTCATCTTATGAGTGAGACATGTTTTGGGGAACAAAGGCTTGCTGTTCTATAAAGGACACAGTAAGGAGAGTGAACAGAAAAGGGAGCAAACTGCACATGTGCCCTCTGAATTTAAAATACATGAAAGAGAAGAGGTTTTCCCAAAGATATACAAATGACCAACAAGCACCTGAAAAGTTGTTCAACATCACTAATCATTAGGAAAATGCCAATCAGAAGCACAATAGCGAAACATCATGTTGTATACTTTGCAATAAATGACAAAACAGCAAGACCTTCCACTTCACACCCCTTACAATGGCTACTGATTTTTAAAATAGAAACTTCAAGTGTTGACAAAAATGTGAAGAAATTGAGACTCTCATGCTTTACTGATGAGAATGTAAAATAGTGCTACTATATACAGTCAAATATGGTGGTTGTTAAAAAAAATAAAATGGAATAATCGCATCATTCAGCAGTTCCTCATCTGGGTAGATGAGGGGAATCCCCCAAAATCAGAATTATCTTTTGGAGGGTGGGACCCTTGTAGTACAGGCTTCTACCACTAAGTGAGTGGTCTAGGGACCCATCAGCACCAGTGTACCAGCTAGCGTCATGAGAGGCTGTATTCAGCTTCAAAAAAAATTTTTTTGTGACAAACATGTGACTGGTTCTTCCATCATGACAATGCACTTGCCCACACCATGCTGAATGTTCAGTAGTTTTTGATAAAAATATCGTGACCCAGTGCCCCACCCTCCCTATTCATCCACTCTTCCCCGAATGACTTTTTTTTGTTGTTTCCCTGGATGAAAAAAGTCCTCAAAGGGAAACGTTTTGTCAATGTGGAAAAGGTGAAACAAAAAATGACAGAAGCACTAAAAGGCATCAAAATTGATGAGTTCAAAAACTGTTTTAAGCAGTGGAAAAAGCGTCTTGATAGGTGTATTACATCAAATGGAGAGTACTTTGAAGCTGACTGAACTTTGAACATGTAAAAATAAATACGCCATTTTATTATTTAAAAATTCCAGGACTGGGAGGGGTGGTTCATGCCTATAATCCCAGCTCTTTGGGAGGCCAAGATCAGAGAATTGCTGGAGCCCACAGGTTCAAGACCACAGCCTGGGCAACTTGGCCAGACCTCATCTCTACAATAAATCAAAAAATTAACCGGGTGTGGTGGTGCATGCCTGTAGTCCCAGCTACCTGGAAGGCTGCGGTAGAAGGATTACCTGAGCACAGCAGGCCAAGGCTGCAGTTGTCATGAGTGTGCCAGCCTGGGCAACAGAGTGAGACTCCAACTCAAAAAAATAAATAAATAAATTCTGGTTTTTTTGTGTCCCCCTTACATGCCTAAAAGAGTTTAAAACAGAAACTTATGTGGATTTTATGCATCCATGTACACAGCTGCATGTTCACAGTAGCCAAAATGTAGAAACAAGCCAAGAAGCCAAGTTCAGTGGCTCAACCTGTAATCCCAGCACTTTGGGAGGCCAAGACAAGTGGATTGCCTGAGCCCACGGGTTCAAGGTCAGCCAGCGCAACTTGGCGAGACCTCTACAATACATCAAAAAAAAAAATTAACCGGGTGTGGTAGCACACGCCTGTAGTTCTGGCTGCTTGGAAGGCTGAGGTGGAAGGATCACTGGAGCCCAGCAAGTCGATGCTGGGTTGATCATGAGTGTGCCACTGCACTCCAGCCTGGGCAACAGAGTGAGACTCCAACACACACACAAAAGAAACAACCAAGAGTCTATCAATGGATTAATGGATTAACAAAATGTGTTATGTACATACGGTAGAATATGATTCAGTCTTATTTTATTAATTTTTAATTTTAAAGCTGTGGAGAAGCTGGGCTCGTTGGCTCAGCCTGTAATCCTAGCACTTTGGGGGGCCGAGGCAAGTGGGTTGCTTGAGCCCGCAGGTTCAAGACCAGTCTGGGCAACTTGGCGAGGCCTCGTCTCTGCAATAAACCAAAAATTAGCCTGGAATGGTAACACACACCTATAGTTCCGGCTACTTGGAAGGCTGAGGTGGAAGGATCACCTGAGCCGAGTGGTCGAGTCTGCGGTGGCCGTGAGTGTGACACTGCACTCCAGTCTGGGTGATGGAGTGAGACTCCAACTCAAAAATAAAAATAAAAATAAAGATGTGAGGTACAATTCAGGGTTATTCAGCACTATACAGGAAGGAATTTCTGACTCAAGTGGCAACATAGATGAACCTTAAGGTATTATGGTACTTGAAATGAACCAGTCACAAAAGGACAAAGACTGTATGATTCCACTTATTTGAGGTATCTAGAATAGGAAAGTTCAAGGAAATTAGAAAGGTAGTTGCCACGGGCTCAGGCAGTTATCATCTACTGGATACAGAGTTTCAGTTTGGGAGGAAGTTTGGGAAGATGAAGACATTTCTGGAGTTCAATGGTGTTGATGGTTGTACCACAGTGTGAATGTACTTAATGCCACTTGCCTACTCATTGAGAAATGGAAAAACTGGTTAACTTTTTAATGTATATTTTACTATAAATTTTAAAAATCTCCCAAGGTTTGATCAGTCACCTCACAAAAAAAGAAAAAACAGATGGCAAATAATCACATGAAAACATTCTCCGTATCACTGCTTGTGATGAAATTGCTGAATAGAATCAGAATGAGGAAGCAATCCATACCTATTAGAATGGCTACAAAGTAGAACAAAGATAAAAAGAAGTTTAGAAATTCCTGATCATACCAGATGTGAATGAAAATGTGAAGCAACCAGAACTCACATGTTCTGCTGGTGGGAATGCAGACTGCTCCCTCCACTTTGGAAAACAATTTGGTATTTAACTAGGAGAAGGCAAACCTTATGCTCACACACAGAATCCTTGGTGTGAATATATATATATATATATTTTTTTTTTTTTTTTGAGTTGGAGTCTCACTGCAGTGGCATGCTCAGGGTCACCCCAGCATCAACTTGCTGAGCTCCGGAGATCTTTCCACCTCAGCCTTCAAGTAGCCAGGACTACAGGTGCACGCTACCACTCCTGGTTAATTTTTGATTTATTGTAGAGACAAGGTCTCACCAAGTTGCCGGGACTGGTCTTGAACTTGTGGGTTCAGGCAATCCACTCGCCTCAGCCTCCCAAAGTGCTGGGATTACAGGCTGAGCCACCAAGCCCGGCCTGGTGTGACTATAGCAAACTTTATTTCATATACACCAAAATGTGGACTCATTCCAAATGTTCTTCAACCAGTGTGTCTACAAAATGGGGGCCTATGGAAACAATGAGGTGTGAGTCAGCAATTGCAAAGGCCAAATCCTTGACTTCTACACCCCATTGCCTTGAGGATGCACCAAGGCATTACACCAAGTGAATGGATAAAGACCTTATTTTATTTTATTTTTTGAGTTGGAGTCTCACTCCATCGCCCAGGCTGGAGTGCAGTGGCATGTTCACTGCCACCCCAGCGTCGACCTGCTGGGCTCCAGCAATCCTTCTGCCTCAGCCTTCCAAGTAGTCGGAACTACAGGCACGTGCTACAACCCTGGCTAACTTTGGATTTACTGTAGAGATGAGGTCTCGCCAAGTTGCCCAGGCTGGTGTTGAACCTGCAGGTTCAGGCAATCCTCTGGCCTCGGCCTCCCAAACTGCTGGGATTATAGGCTGAGTCACTGAGCCCAGCCAAATAAAGACTTTAAAGGTTAAGTTTTTAATGATTCCTTTTATGTGACACTCCTCAAAAGTTATATCAAATGGATAGAGAAGGGATCTGCTTTTTTACAAGAATTAAGTGTGTAGGGAGGGTTGAATGTCAAGGGACAGCAGGAGAGAATGTTTTAAGTGATGACATCTTGCAGTGTACTGACTGTGGTTGTGGTTATACAACTGTATACATCTATCAAACCATGTTGAATTACATATGATGAATTGTGAAATTGATGCTACCTAAATGTAAAATGCACTAAAAATTTTTAAATGCAAGCTGCCATTATTCTTTCACTAAAATTGTTAAAATGTAAAGATCGATAATACCAAGTATTGAGGGTGTGGAGCTACTGGAATTCTGGCATGTGCCTGGGAAGAGTGGTAAAAGTCAAAACCATTTGGACAATAGTTTGGCAAATTCTCAGTAATGTTAAACATACAGATATCTTTATTTTTATTTCATTTCTTTTTTTTTTATTTTTATTTTTTGAGTTGGAGTCTCACTCCTTCACCCAGGCTGGAGTGCAGAGGCACGCACACTCACAGCCACACCAGTGTCAACCTTCCGGGCTCCAGCAATCCTTCCACCTCAGCCTTCCAAGTAGCCGGAACTATAGACGTGCACTACCATGCTATTTTTTATTCTATTGTAGAGACAAGGTCTCACCAAGTTGCCCAGGCTGGTCTTGAACCTGCGGGTTCAGGCAATCCACTCGCTTCGGCCTCCCAAAGTGCTGGGATTACAGGCTGAGCCAACGAGCCCGGCCCTTATTTTTATTTTATTATAGAGATGTGGGGTACAAGTGGGGATTTACTACATAAGTAGACTGCACACAGGTGAAGTCGGTCCTTCTAACTGACCCTACTCTCTCTGGTAGTGGACTTGGAATTTTTTGTGTTGTCATGTGTCCCCTACCATCTTTTCATCCTCTCTCCCCTAGCAGTGCCCAGTGACTGCCCATCCCATCCTTGTAGTAATGTGACTAGTGATCAGGGCCTGCTTAGGAGTGAGAACATGCAGTATTCAGCTCTTTGTTTCTGTGATAGTTCACTTTGTATGATGGTCTCCAACTCCATTCAATTTACTGAAAGGTCCATGATTTTGTTCTTCTTTATGTCTGTGTAATACTTCATTGGGTATAGTATGTACTTACAGATATTCTTTGACTAAAAATTCCACAGCTTAAGTATACTGAGTACAAAAACATGTCTATAAAAAGACTTCTACCTGAGTAACTATAGTTAACACAAACTAGAAAATCTCAAATGTCTATCAATAGATTTTTTTTAAAAAGGTGATAGCACACCCATACAATGGAATACTCCTTAGGAATAACACCATATGAAATGCAGGCAAATCAAGAGGTTGGTTCAGTTTCAGTACATAATCAATGTTCAGTGACAGAATACAGACAGAAATAAGTATATTTCTAGGAAATTCTCAAATCAACAGGCTAACTCACCATAAGAGAGACCACAGTGAGCTGCAAAGAGATTTCACAAAGTTCTTGGAGCAGTGGAAATGGTGTATACCTTGATTGTGGCAGTCACAAGAATGCCATACATACATGTCACAACACAATGAAATGAACATTTCAGGTGGGTGTGTATTATTTCATGCAAATTATATTCAGTTATATTCATTAGAGAAATGTCATAAGACCCACAACTTTATAGTTAATCTTCCAGCCCATGAACATGGTATAACTTTCTTTACTTGCAAAACTAACTGTACTCCATTTCCCATTATGTGCTATATTCTGACTTGCTAGCAAAACTTACAATGTGTTACTTTATTTATGAACAGCTTAGTTCTTTTCTTATTAAGTGAGGATGTAAACTGCTCTCTGTGTGAGTGAGGGGAAGGGAATATTTATCTAGATACTATAGTTATAAAGATTGTACTAATACATAGTGTCAAATACAATTATATCTCAGGTATCCAGGAGTTGCAAGAAGTGAGATGGAAAACTATGTGAGCTGAACCTTAAATTTTTATTTTGTCTGTATGCTTCAGTCATGTTGTCTGAAAATATGTCTTTTAAGTCACATTTACTTGTGAAAAGCTTATCTTTACATGAAAAGAAATGCCAATCTCTATGATAAGGACCCAAAAAGAAATCGTCTCTGTCCACACCACTTGGGATAGAAGCATTAATGGAAAAGAGCTTTCTTCTGAACTGATTCAAGGAACATGTTTTCTCTCTTTTGATTTACATGAAGATGCTACATGGTTCTTACTTTTGATATGTCATGGAAACTTTGCCAATCAGTGTACTCAATGCCAGGGGAAAATTCTGACTCATATGTATTTCAAAATACCCAACGAGCTGCCATGAGACATGGCAACCTACCAGCATCCACAGCCCTCAAGCCCAACAGGATGTGAGTGTGGTGACGACGTGAGGCTACGTCTGGGGCATCTCAAGGGTAGGTCCAGGTCAGTGACATCTCTTCTTGTCTCCAATCTCACCTTCACAGACATGCTCACTATGTGTTTGAACAATGACTGACTGAATAAATGAATGAGAGCATGGTTGCCATTTTCACTGCCCCTACCCCGCTTCACTTCTTCTGCCCCAGACATTACAGCATCCTACATCCACCCCATAACCATCCACCCCATGGGTCTAGATGGGGCAGTGACTCTGGGGCAGGACTGGGTGACCAGTCCCCTGGTGTAAACACTGCTGCACAGAAAGGCACCTCAGAGAGGGAGGACCTTGGACGCTCACAGGTGTCTTCTGCCACAAATGCCCTGGCACAGGCTCCTGTGCTCAAAGGAAGTGCCTAGCATGGGAATCAGGATGTGGTCTCTGCTTCTCCTCTGCTCCTCCCTGGGCAGATCTCTGGGGTCACTTGGCTCAGGGCTTCCCTACTCTCTGTGCAGAGGGGGTAAACTCTGATCTTTTGTAGATCTGAAGTTCCTCTTTTGCAAACTGCCAATGTCACATGCTCCTTCCCAGCTCCCATGGGTCCCACAGCCTTTCTTCACTCACCTCCCCTTCTCTACTCTCACAGGGGGCCAGGGACCCACCACCTCAGAGATGCTGCTGCCAATGCTGCTGCCCCTGCTGTGGGCAGGTGAGTGGCCATGGGGAGACAGCTGTGGGGCTGGGCCAAGCTGACCCTCACTTCTCCACAGGAGCCCTTGCTCAGGAGGAGAGGTTCAAGCTGGAAGTGCCTGAGTTGGTGACGGTGCAAGAGGGCCTGTGCATCGTTGTGCCCTGCTCTGCCATCTACTTCAAGTATTTCTGGAATGATGCCACCCCTGCTTCTGGCTACTGGTTCCGAGAAGGGGCCAGTCCTTTCCTGGAATCTTCAGTGGCCACAAACCATGCAGCTCGAAAAGTGCAGGAGGAGACCCAGGGCCGATTCCTCCTCCTTGGGGACCCACAGACCAAAAACTGCTCCCTGAGCATCAGAGATGCGATAAGGAGTGATGAGGGAAAATACTTCTTCCGGGTGGAGAGAGGAAGCTTGAAATACAGTTACAATTCTCCTCGGCTCTCTCTGCTGGTTACAGGTAAGTCACAGGCTCTAGGAGAGGCCCCAGGGAAAGGTCATGGAGCTGCAGGGCAGGAACAGGATGGGACCTCTGCCCTGGGAGGAGGTTGAGGCTCAGGGAGGAGCTGGACCAGAGACTGGGCTTCTCTCAGGGTCGTACCTCAGACCCTCCCTCCTGATCCTGCGTGTCCCCCTTTCTTCACCAGCCCTGACCCACACACCCAATGTTTTCATCTCTGGGACCCTGGAACCTGGACATCCCAATAATCTGACCTGCTCTGTGCCCTGGGCCTGTGAGCAGGGGATGCCCCCCATCTTCTCCTGGATGTCAGCTGCTCCCATCACCCGGATCCCGGGGACCATCCTTCCTTGGTGCTCACTGTCACACTACGGCCCCAGGATCATGGTACCAACCTCACATGTCAGGTGAAGTTCCCTGGAGCAGGTGTAACCACAGAGAAAACCAACCAGATCAACATGTTCCATGAGTGTTGGGCCTGGACCTGTGGGACCCCAAGGCTGTGAGAGCACAGAAAGTTCAGGGCTGGGGACAAAGTACCAGCTGCATCCTTGACATCTGGCTGATCAGGGACCTAGAAAGACAATCGCTCTACATTTCTGTGGATTCTGAGGAAGGGGGAGAAGTGCTCATCCTTATCTCACACCCATTCCAGCTAAATGGGAAATGTCTTTTCTGTCCTAGGCACTCCAATAAGCACAACAATTGGTGTCCACCCAGGAAATGGCACAGGTAGGACAGAGTCCCCTCCCTGGGTGGGGGTGCAGGACCTTCAGCTCAGGGCAGGGCCCCTCCTCATCTGAGACTCACCCTGATGACCAGAGAACCCTTTGTGGGTGAACCCAGGGCCCCTCCCCACACTCAGCCCCCATGGCCCCCTGAGCGAAGATCTTCCCCATCCACTCCTCACCCCCCTTGAACCCCTCCCCACACACACCCCTTAGCCAGCAGTAAGGACAGGTTGCCATTAACTACAGAACCAGTCTCGAGACCCTCATCATCCATCTCCTAAACATGCCTCCTGCCTTGACTTACTTCTCTCAGTAATTCTTTTTTTTTTTTTTTTTTT